AAAAAAAAAAAAAAAAAAGATTTCCTAATCAGACCTGGTTGTTAGATGAAGAGGGAACATTTCCACCTATAAAGATGTTCTTTGCTAAAGTTTACAAGAGGAACAGTTACACCTGAAATAATTAATCCAACCTGATTTAAAGATCTGACACAAAAAAATAGCACATTTGGGGGAATTCCCTGGCAGTTCAGTGGTTAGGACTTGGCGCTTTCACTGCTGGGAACCCGGGTTCAATCCCTGGTCGGGGAACTAAGATCCTGTAAACCGAGGAGCAGCAAAAAGAAAAGAAAAGAAAAACACATTTTTTATCTTGCCAAAGAGAGCAACTTGAAATAGAGGTCACATGTATACTTCATTCAAGAGTGAAAGGATGGGCTTCCCTGGTGGCGCAGTGGTTGAGAGTCCTCCTGCCGATGCAGGGGACACGGGTTCGTGCCCCGGTCCGGGAGGATCCCACGTGCCGCAGAGCGGCTGGGCCTGTGGGCCATGGCCGCTGAGCCTGCGCGTCCGGAGCTTGTGCTCCGCAACGGGAGAGGCCACAGCAGTGAGAGGCCCGCCTACCGCAAAAACAAACAAAAAACAGTGAAGGGCTGGGCTTCCCTGGTGGTGCAGTGGTTGAGACTCTGCCTGCTAATGCAGGGGACACTGGTTCGAGCCCTGGTCTGGGAGGATCCCACATGCCGCAAAGCAACTAGGCCCGTGAGCCACAACTACTGAGCCTGTGCTCCGCAAAAAGAGAGGCCGCGATAGTGAGAGGCCCACGCACCGTGATGAAGAGTGGCCTCTGCTTGCCACAACTAGAGAAAGCCCTCGCACAGAAACGAAGACCCAACACAACAAAAATAAATTAATTAATTAATAAACTCCTACCCCCAACATCTTTTAAAAAAAAAAAAAAAAAAAAGAGTGAAGGGCTTAGCCCTGGGAGCTGTTGTACTTTGCTGTTGATCATTTGACTTGAACAAGTTTTGGTAACACTAAAGAACACAGACCACTTAAAGTTAGTCACTTAGGGAATACTATGAATGAAGTGAGATTCCCACTCTCAGAGAATCCTTGATCCTTATTTCAGTCAGGTGTCACATAACTGAAGCCTTAGAGAAGGTGAGGAAGCATGACTGATGTAACTTATCTGGGGAAGAGTGTTCCAGGCAAAGCGAATAGCAAGTGCAGTTTGGTTGACATGGTTCCTAAGTGTTGTGTTGATCAAATGACACAATCATGGTTGTTGTTGTTTTTTTAACATCTTTATTGGAGTATAATTGCTTTACAATGGTTTGTTAGTTTCCGCTTTATAGCAAAGTGAATCAGTTATACATATATCCCCATATCTCTTCCCTCTTGTGTCCCTCCCACCCTCCCTATCCCACCCCTCTAGGTGGTCACAAATCACCGCTGATCTCCCTGTGCTACGTGGCTGCTTCCCACTAGCTATCTGTTTTACATTTGGTAGTATATATATGTCCATGCCACTCTTTCACTTTGTCCCAACTTCCCCTTCCCCCTCCCCCTCCCCATATCCTCAAGTCCATTCTCTAGTAGGTCTGCTCTTTATTCCTGTCTTGCCCCTAGGTTCTTCATGACCTTTTTTTTTTTTCTTAGATTCCATATATATGTGTTGGCATACGGTATTTGTTTTTCTCTTTCTGACTTAACTTCACTCTGTATGACAGACTCTAACAACCCAATCCAAAAACGGGCAGAAGACCTAAATAGACATTTCACCAAAGAAGATATACAGATTGCCAACAAACACATGAAAGAATGCTCAACATCATTAATCATTAGAGAAATGCAAATCAAAACTACAATGAGATATCTCACACTGGTCAGAAAGGCCATCATCAAAAAATCTACAAACAATAAATACTGGAGAGGGTGTGGAGATAAGGGAACCCTCTTGCACTGTTGGTGGGAATGTAAATTGATACAACCACTATGGAGAACAGTATGGAGGTTCTTTAAAAAACTAAAAATAGAACTACCATACGACCCAGCAATCCCACTACTGGGCATATACTCAGAGAAAACCATAATCCAAACAGAGTCATGTACCACAATGTTCATTGCAGCTCTATAAATAGCCAGGACATGGAAGCAACCTAAGTGTCCATCAGCAGATGAGTGGATAAAGATGTGGCACATATATACAATGGAATATTACTCAGCCATAAAAAGAAATGAAGTTGAGTTATTTGTAGTGAGGTGGATGGACCTAGAGTCTGTTATACAGAGTGAAGTAAGTCACAATCATGGTTTTTTTTAAAAATCAGAAAATATGGAAAGGGGGGGTTGCACCTAGAGATAACCAGGTTGCACCTAGAGATAATCTATCCAGGTTTCTTAAGCTGTCACTTAACATCTATGTTAGTTTACTAGGGCTGCCATAACAGAATACCACAGACTGGGTAGCTTAAACAATGGACATTCAGAATTCTGGAGGCTAGAAGTCCAAGATCAGGGTATCAGCAGGTTTGATTTCTTTTGACTTGCAGGTGGTTGCCTTCTCACTGGGTCCTCACATGGTCTTTACTCCATACAGATGTGCATACCTGTTTCCTTGTGCATCTAAGTTTCCTCTTCTAGTAAGGACACCAGTCATATTGGATTAGGGCCCACCCTAATGGCCTCATTTTAACTTAATCACCTCTTTAAAGGCTGTTTCCAAATATAGTCACATTCTGAGATGCTGGGACTTAGGTCTTCAACATAGGAACTTGAGGAGACACAGTTCAGCCCATTACACCATCTGTGAACAAGTACCTCAGATATTTATCAGTCTTCCTATCAGTACAATTCTGTGCTATTTGGATATTCATTTTTATTAGTGCAGGCTTATAAAGTAACCAATAGTAACAGCAGTAGTAATGCACAGTGATTTTTTTTCTCCTAAGCCAAATTAGAATTATTAAAGATTTAACTCTTTCTAAGCAAAAGGCATTGAATTGTCCGTTTTTTTCTTATAATGTCACAAACAGCCTTCAGTTTCGCGTTTGCTGGAGGAGACTTAATCCAGTATAAGTGAATAATCCAGTTGGCTCTTCTGTGGATAAAAAATGCCAGTGTTTTCCAAACGGACCATTCAAGAATGCTTTCAGATTTTTCCTGTTTCCTTGCAAGTACCATCTGTGCTATTTAATATTTTTCTTCAGTCGGCTGACTCTTTTGCTTATGTTTATTTTAAAAGGAAAATTTTAACATAATCATAAAGGGGAATTTAGTTTAACATTACTTGCCCTAATAAATACATGACTGTAAAATGAAGTGTTCACTCATGTACCACCTGAAAAAAAGCCTCGGAGCCATAGTTGACTTCTCTTTCTCTCACACTTCATAGGCAATCTGACAGCAAATCTTACCAGCTCACAGCCCTGAAATATCTAAAACTGTGCTACCTCTCACCACCTCCACTACTATCACCCTGTTCCTTCACTGTTAACACCTGTGATCTTTTGCTGGGATTATTGCAATAGCCTTCTAGCTGTTGTTGCCCTAGCTCCCTTCACTGTACTCTTCATACAGCAGCCAGAGGGATCCTGTTAAAAACAAGTCAAAATCCTGTCATTCCTCTATTCAAAACTCCAGTGGCTTTTTAACAGTTGGAGTCCCTAATTTCCTACTTCCATCTCACTGACTTGGTTTTAGCTCAGTTGGCATCTTTGCTGTTCTTTGACACTCTGGGCAAGGTCGTACTTCAGGGCCTTTGCACCTGCTATTTCCTCTGACTGGAAGACTCTCCCCTCAGCTGCCGATATGTCAAGTTCCCTATTTAAAATTGTAACTCCCCCCACCAGTACTCTCTGCTCCAGAACACCACCATCTGTCATACTACATAACTTGCATAATTTGTATTTGTTTTCTTCTAGAATGTAAGCTCCATGAGGGCAGGCATTTTTGTTTTGTTCACAGCTTATTTCCTGGTGCCTAGAAAAGTGCCTGATTTTCCTCAGGTATTTATTCCAGTTGAATTAATAGTAACGTGTTCCACACTTTGGGAAATACTGAGATATGCAGAGAACACCTCCCACAGTCTTGAGTCCCTCCAGTGGGTCTTTCTTCATAATCATATGTTAAGTGCTGCTTGGCTCTGAGAGTCTGGCCAGTTGGAGGCTCAGTAAAGAAAGCTTGTAACTTGCCTGAGTTTTTTCCTGAGGAATACTCTAAATGCCAGGGGAAGAGGTGAGTGCGGGGAGAGGTAGGCAGGACTGGTTGGGAGAATAGCATCCCCATCTGGGCCCAGTACCTAGACTCTGTTCTGGAAGACACCCAGAAGTGGTGCAAGCCTCAGCCTGAACTTAGGTACAGTGGCATGAACCTGTGAGATGTGTTTGTGTGCTTGCTTCCATGAGCTACTTTCCAGGCTATGGGATTTTTGGAAACAGGTAAAGCAGAGAACTGGCTACCCTCTTAGCTTTTTCACAAGAGAGAAACTATGACTTAAATATTTGCAGTTTTTCATCCTTGCCGCCTTCTGTTGACTCGTGAGTTGATCAAGAGGACGCTGTTGTTAACATGATAGGGCCAGGGCGTCTGTTCCTCTTAAGGTAGTTTGAGAGTCGTTCCAACAAATGAGCATGCCCTTAGACTCAGAAATGTAGAATGAGAACAAAACAAAAGAAATAGCCTCTTTTCTTCCAAGGCACTTTTGTTAGCACTTTAGTTTTCATCTCAAACTATTGGGCCCAAATTAATCAACATTTCGGCTTGTAAACCCTTTATGAAGTTCGTCAAAGCTCCAGGGATGGGGGTGGGGTGTCTTTCTAGGTCATCCAGCCCTGGTGTAGTCTGTCACTTCACCTGTAACAAACCACGTGCCCCTTCTGGTTGTGCTGGTCAATACAGATAGGTTCGTAAGCAGCAAGCTTGAGGTACGACAACTTACAGAAGTTTTTAGGACATAAGCATATTTATTCTGACCTAGTGATAATGAGCAGCTAGCTCTAGGCTTACAAGTTCCCCTGGAGTTGCTAGTATCTTGAATTTCTTTCCATTTATTTTAGGAGTAAAAGTCCCTCGCAATTTCCGACTGTTGGAAGAACTCGAAGAAGGCCAGAAAGGAGTAGGAGATGGCACAGTTAGCTGGGGTCTAGAAGATGACGAAGACATGACACTTACAAGATGGACAGGGATGATAATTGGGCCTCCAAGAGTAAGCGTCGAGCTACCGCTATAAATGTCAATGTCTTAAATTCACTGTGCCTCCTTTTAAAAAATACTAGCCTCATCACGGAAAAAGCTCACCAATGGTATATTTTCTGAAATGTGGCTATTCTTTTTTGACCAGTTTCAGTTTATATATTTGAACCTCCTCTGATGCTGTTTAATCCCTCTAAATGGTAAGCAAAAACCTGTTTAGACTCATAGTGTGAATTTACATGACAATGTAGACAGTGAGGTTTGAGGTAATTGTACCCTCATGTAGTTTAGAACAAACTCCTGGGCTTATCAAATAACAAGCCTCCAGGTACAGCCAGCATTCCTGAAGACAGTGTCCAACTGAACTTTGGAAAACCGTCATGGTTGTGGTTTTTATTCATTGTTTCCCAGTCCTGCCATGCGTCTGTATCCTAATTCATTGGGCCATTCAACAAAGGGTTATTGCCTGCCTGGTCTGCTCTGGTCTGTTCCAGGCTCTGTTGGGCCCAGAGACCTTTGGGAAGAAGACAAAGACAGTGGAGATGGGGAACAGGACCCCTCTTTTAGAGCTCTGTGATTTTCGAGCATTCCCAGTCTTATAATGCCTGCTAACCTTTTTTTGTGGCACATAGTAAACCCCCCAGAAATGCCCTTTAATTCTCACAAGAGCCTGTTGTAAGGTGCTCCTGTTGCGTAGTTGCATTCCATCTTACAGATGAGGAAGCCGACTTGGAAAAGTCAGGGTACTCCCACAAAGTCACATAGCCGATAATTCCCAAACCTCATCTCACTCCAGAGCCTGTGCTCTTAACCACTGTGGTATATTTTCTCCTTCCTATTTATATTTTGAGTTTTCATCTGTTCCCATTATAGAATTATCTAGTGTTAAGTAGTAATTTGATGTAGGAGTGAAGAAATAGATTCCAATAATGTGACACTTGTTTCAAACAAGCGGCAGGAGATTCTGCCTGAGTGTAGCAGGCCCTTTCCTGTGTCTGCTTGTGCTTAAGGGTGATGATGTTCGGTCATTCTTTTCACCTCGTGCAAGGCTCTGCACCAGCCTCTGGGAGATAGAAAGGCACATGGGATGTGGCCCTGTCTGAAAAAAGGAAGAGTGTGGTGCTCGCTCAGTGTTAGGACTCTTAGACTGTCATAAACACTCATGATGAATGACTGGCTTTGATATTTAATGTTACTTTTTGAATCATTTTTGTGACCCTATAGTTTTGTTTGGGGGGTTTTAAAAAATATATTCCATCTGTTTTTACTCATTTCTTGATCCTTTTTTTAATCTATGAAAATCGGGGTTTTCTGAATCTATTAAATACTGGGAAAAACCTTGATCTAGGCTTGTTTCTTCAAAAAGATCATTTCTTGCTGTCTCTGAAAGTCCACTGTATAGTGATGGCTTCCTTCACTGCATTCTTATCTTTCTAAGAATGGTTTAGGTTTTTTGAAGATGAGAACTATTCTTCCCTTCTCTTTACTCTCCAGAGCACCTAGAAGTGACTCAGTGCGGTAGATGTTCAACAGATTTGTTAACAGACTGATTTTTAGGTTCTAACAAACTAAGAATGAACCAGCGTACAACATTGTGAATACACTAAATACCACTGAATTATATACTTAAACAAACAAATAAATAAATAAAATGAACACTAAGTTCTGTTGAAAATATGCTGTTCCACCTAAAACATCTTAGGTTACCCTGAGTTTCAGTTTACCTCTTTCCAAAGGGGGCTAACTTTTAATGAGTAGCTACAGTATGCAAGATACTTTCCATATATCCTTTACATCCTTTTTTTTTTAATTGAGACATAATTCACAAACCATAGACTTCACAAACCATAAAATATACTTTTAAAGTTCAGTGGTTTTTATTATATTCAGAATTGTGCAACTGTCACTAACTTCAGAGCATTTTCATTACCCAAGGAAGAAACCCCCATACCCTTTGGCAGTCACTCCCATTCTGCCTTCTACCCGCTCACTCCTCACCCTTGACAATCACTGTTTACTTTCTGTATCTATGCATTTGCCTGTTCTGGACATTTCATGTAATTGGAATTAATATGTGGTCTTTTGTGACTGGCTTTTACTTAGCATAATGTTTTCAGGATTTGTTCATGTTATAGCACTTATCAGTTCATTCCTTTTTATGGCTGAATAATATTCTTTTGTATGGATATACCATATTTTGTTTATCCATTAATTAATTGATGGACATTTGGATTTTTTCCACTTTTTGCATATTATGAATAATACTGCTATGAACATTTGTGTACAGGTTTCTATATGGACAGATGTTTTCAGTTCTCTTAAGTATATACATAGGAGTGGAATTGTTGGATCATATGATAACTGTTTAACATTTTAAACAACTGGCAAACTGTTTTCCAAAGTGGCTGCACTGTACCACTTTACATTCCCACCAGCAATCATGAGGGTATCAGTTTCTCTGCTCCCTCACCAATACTTGTTATTGTGTCTTTTTACCCCTATAGTTTCTATTGCCCTGGCTCCCCAAGGTTAAAAGCAAGTCATAAAAGGAACTGCCTGCTTCTAGGTGCTTCCTGTGACGAGTCTATTTTATGATTAACATACAGGGTATATGCTGTGCATCTGGAATATCAAGCTAATTATTAAAGCATCTAAATAGAGCTCTGAGTAACTCATGTCCCTATTGTATTTTTGTTATTGTATTACTCAAAATCCTCCACCAGTATTTAAAAGGCATATACCATATGATCCAGCAATTCTGCTAGGAATTTACTCAGCTTTTCTTGAATGTATTGCCCAAAAGCCTGTATGTACAAAATTATTTCATGCAGTGTTTTCAATAGTAGCAAAATATTGGAAAGCACCTCAGTATCTTTCAGTGGACCATATTATATACTGTTTAGCTTTTCAAAAGAATGAGACAGATTTATACGTGCTGAAATGGAGGATCTCCATGATATTTAAGTGAAAAAAGGTACAAAGCAGTATACACACTGTGCTGTCACTTGGGGTGGGGGTGGGTGAGGGAAGAGGAAGAGGCCAGACATATACTTGTGCTTCTGTGTTCTTCGAATACTTTTGGAAAACATAAAAGAAGCTGATGACAATAGTTGCCTTCAAAAGGGATTGCTGGCTGGGGTCATGGTGGAAAGGAGGCTTATTTTTCACTGTATTTTTGTACTCTTTATGCTTTAATCATATGTGAGTGTTAGCTATTTGAAAAAAAAAAAAAATATATATATATATATATAAATCTTTTTTGTTTTTTGTTTTTTTGAAAGCAAGTCCTCCAAACCTAAAAGTAAAGCTTCCCATCCAAGTGCCTCTTGCAAAATTCTGGCAAACATGTGACTGTCCACAGCATTAGACGTGGAGTCTTTCTACTCTGACTGCGAGGTGGTAACACTAGCCAGGTTATAGAGCAAAGTTTCTCAGCCTTGGCACTGTTGGCATATTGGGCTGGGTCATTCTTTGTTTTGGAGCTGTCCTTTGCATTAGAGGATGTTCAGCAGCATCCCTGGTGTCTCCTCACTAGATGCCAGAAGCACCTCCCCAACCCTGTTGTGACAGTCATAAATGTCTCCAGGTGTTGCCTGACTCCCACCACTTCGGGAGTGGGACAGGGACAGAAATTACCCTGGTTGAGAAGCACTGTTAATACCTCTGGGGTTCTCCAAGATAGTGTTTTTATGTGTGGGTTAGAGTGTAGGTGTGTATTTATACACATACTTATCTAAAAGTATTGTATGCATGCTTAAGAACAAACAGGATTACAGGAATGTGTGAAGTAAAAGGAAAGTGATCCTTTCCCCATTTCATTATACTCCCCACAGAATAAAAACTGATCATTTGGTGTGTGGTGTGTTTCTACTGGCATTTGCTGTGGGTACACAAACAAATGCATATCCTTTTTAATAAAAATGAGACCTTGCTATGCTTAATGTTTTGCAGCTTTATTTTTTTTTCCCCCTTAGCAGATGGTGGACATCTTTCCATATCAGTGCATATTGATCCGTCTCTTTTTTAAAAGCTTTAAGTTACATGTCTGATAAATGAATATATTCTGGTAAAGTTTTTCAAACAGTACAGAATAAGCAATTCACTTTGTTCCCTTTAATTTCTTTATGTCAGTCAGGCAGAGAAACCATACTAGGTATTTCAACAGAGAGAATTTAATATAGGAAGTTGATCAAATAGGTGTTGGACTGAAAAAAAGCCAAAAAAGCACGCTGGGGGAACACAAAGATAACACAAAGCAATCAACACCGCCTGGGTCTGGGGGGATGGGTCAGGGGAGGCTGGGGCCATCGAAACCTAGTACTTGGAGGACAGATACCCTCTGCTGTTAGGTCCTGTGGGGCCCAGCAGAGCTGGTTGGAGGAGCATTGAAAGTCCAGAAGCTGGACACCAGAGACAGCTCTTGCTGCCAGGATGAGGGCCTCGTGCCAGACTGACATTGGTAGAAACAGAAAGCAAATGGGAAGAAGCGAACGCCTCCTTTCGCCTTTTTATTTTCTATTAGGATTGTGTGGTCAACTCAGCAGTTTAGTCTTTAGGCTGTAGAATATTCAGGTGGCACTATGACTGAATTAGAGAAATGAATAATTAATATTGCCTTCAGAGGGACCTATGGCTCACTCAGAAGGATACCCTGACTGATGGGAAGAGAGTTTTTGTACAGAGGAAAATTGTGTCTTGTCACTGTTTAGAGGGATGTGTGCAGGTGCTGGTTAGTAAGCTCCAAGCCCACCTTTCCCTGCTCTGCTTTGGATCCTGGGGCTGGCACTCTGCAAACTACATTTTTCCTTTGTCAGCTGGCTTCCTGTTAGGCTCCACCAATCAGGACACAGGAGAGAGCCTGTAAGGCGGAGAGAAGAGACTTGTTTCTTCCTGTTTGCCTCTTGTTCTGTCTGTGCCACTTTGGTAATTGCCCTTCATCCTGGCATCAGCAGTGGGTTCCAGCCTCCAGCTTTTGGGGGCACCCCCATCATCAGCCTCGCAGCACCCCCTCCTTAGAGATCTGGGTTCAACTCTGGAGCCCTCTTCCTCTGAGCCTCTAGATCTGATCAACTCCAGCTTTGTTCCTTTGCCCCCCCAGCCTTAAGGGGGAACAAAGGGAATAATAAGCCTTAGCTAACCCAGAGGTGATACCTGCTCCCTGCAGTTACTACCTCTGTGTTAGTTCAGGCTCCTCTTTTAAAGCTTTTTTCAGTCCAGTGATACCTGTTTAACCGATTCCCTATATTAAATACTCTGTTAAAATCCTAGTGTGGTGTCTTTTTTCCCCAGCTTTTCCCGAACTTTCAAATCCCCACTTTCCTCCCCAGATTAACTGTGAACAGTAGTTCGATGCGTATCCTCTCACACCTCTTCCTGTACATTTACTACCTGTCCATGTCCTAAGTTGTTGAGATCTCAGGCTCTACCTGGTCTCCCTTTTTTAGAGGGCCCATCCTTTATTCTAACATAGCATATGCCCACATTGCACATTAAACATACTTTTTATATAACTATCAGATTTGAACTGAGTAGTGGTTGACTAGTTCACCTAGTGTCATCTTTCTTTTATATATTAATTTAGATTTTGTGCTTTGCATATTTTTGCAGCCAATACCTTTTTCCTTTTCTCATATCTCATACATCTTAGAAATACATTTTAAAAGAATGAAATTTTGCCATTTGAACTACATGGATGGACCTGGAGGGGGTTATGCTTAGTGAAATAAGTTAGACAGAGAAAGACAAATACTGTATGTTAACACTTTTATGTGGAATCTAAAAAATAAATGAATATAACAAAACTGAAACAGACTCACAGATACAGAGAACAAACTAGTGGTTACCAGTGGGGAGAGGGGAGGGGGAGGGGCAAGATAGGGGGGAGGGGATTAAGAGATACAAACTACTGTGTATAAAATAAATAAAGCTACAAGGATGTATTGTATGGCACAGGGAATGTAGCCAATATTTTATAATAACTTTAAATGGAGTATAATCTATAAAAATATTGAGTCACTGTGTTGTACACCTGAAACTAATATTGTCAGTCAACTATACTGCAATATAAATAGATAAATAAGCAAACATTCATTGTATTTTATAACACTTTCAGATTTACAGAAAAGTTGCAAAGGTGGCATAGAAAGAAAGTTCTGGTATACACCGCCCTACCCCAGTTTCCCTTGTTAACATATTAGTACAGTACATTTGTTACAACCAATGAACCAATATTGATATATTATTAACTGAAGTCCATAATTTATTCAGGTGTCCTTAGCTTTTACCTTATGTCTGTTTTCTGTTCTAGAATCCTATCCAATATACCACATTATGTTTTGTTGTCATGTCCTAGGCTCCTTGTGCCTGTAATAGTTTCAGGTTTTTCTTGGTTTTGTTGTCCTTGACAGTCTGGAGGAGTACTGGTCAAATAGTTTGTAGAGTGTCTCCCTGTTTGAATTGGTCTGATGTTTTCCTCATGATCAGGCTAGGATTATCTCACATATATATTTTAGGCCCAAGAAAAGTTTGTGATCTCTAGGCTCTGGGCATGTAGTGATCAATGGATGAAACAGCCTATGGACACATAAATATATCCAGAGTTGGAGGGAGGTGTCTGTCTGCTTCTATAGGTTGTACATAATCTGCAACTTGCTGGCTATACCAAGAGCTATGTCTTGGCATCCTTTGCAGGGGTGCGTGCATGCGTGCGTGCGTGTCTGGGCCTCAGCCTTTGAAAAGGCTACAGAGTATCCAGTTACAGGAGTGTGCCTTATTTGTGTAGTCAGTCTCTTGCAGGTGGACATTTAGATTGTCTGCAGTATCAAAAGTAACTAAACAATGCTTCACCTTTTTGTATGAGTCCGTCTGTAGGAAATTCCTAGAAATGGTCTTGCTGGCCTGAGCACGCCTGTTTCAACATGCTGTTAGGCACTGCCAAATTGCCCCATGAAGCCCAAGCCATAACAACAAAGTTGTTCCATGATCAAATAATGAATCTTAAAGAGAGCAGTGTTCCTCATGGAGACAGAATGTTCTAGCAGTTCTCCTTCAGGCACATTTCCTTTCTTCAATGAAACCTTTTTAGCAGGTCCTTGGAGCCCTCGTAAACAAAAGAAGAAAACCAGAACCTCATTTTCTGTAACAGTTTTGCTTTGGGCTTTTTAGTGACCCTTCAGTGCCTCTGCTCACTTGACTTGAGGCACTTTTCACTGTGTTCCAATGAAATTGCCAGTTGAACATAAGTGGTCAGAAATTCAATATTTCTCTTGTTCTAAGTTAGTCATAGCATGCATGTTTTTAAATTAGACTTTCATAGTGTCAAGAGTGACATTAAGATTTAATCTGTGTAATAACCAGAATCCTATTTACTAAACTGCTTACCTTGTGAACCATTTTGATGCTGTTGTTAATAGAGTGATCAGTGACCTCTTATCAACACTGATAAGCCAAAAACCATGCTGGCAGGTGAATAAGTCGGTGCATCAGAGCCTCCAAAATGTAGTGTCAAATATTTTAACAGACTTTGTGATTTTGCTAATTACTGTGAGCCCCCAGGGACTTTTTTATGTAAGAAATTGTCTTTGAATTGTGTGACAAAGCCAGTGAGCAGGAA